CACAAAAGATAAATAAAGATGAGCATTATACTGTATGTAGAGGGGCACCTTCGTGTGAAGCGGAACCTTAGTGAAACTGAAGCAGTGAAAGTGTGAAACAGAGTCTTCGTGAAGCACTGCGCGTGGTCCCGTACTCCCTTAGTGTGTGAAACTGAAGCAGTGAAAGTGTGAAACAGAGCCTTCGTGAAGCACTGCGGCGTGGTCCCGTACTCCCGTTTCCTTGCTAGAATAGGGTTTTGATTTTTTGACTGTTTTTATTTTACAATTTGAACTTTAGTGATTGTCTGTTGACTTGTCTATTGGGCTGGGTTGGCTGCTCTGTTTCAATAAAAAAAATAAGTGGGCTGGTGGGCTGCCCGGCCCACCACGGGTTCAGCCCAAGTGGGCCGGGTAAAAGTAGGCCAAGTTTGAATTTACCCACTTAACATAAAATTGCTATTTATTTTGACCCGGCCCGGCCCATTTTCAAGGTGGGCAAGGTGGGCCGGGTTGGCCCACGGGCCACGACCCATTTTGACGGCTCTACAAAAAACTGAGGATGTGGTGCCATGCTGCTCCATCTACGAGGGCATCTATGTGTGGTAAAGGGTAGACATCCTTTGGGCAGGCTTTGTTTAGATTGATATAGTTTGTACACATTCACCACTTTCCATTTGGCTTTTTCACCATAACCACATTGTCGCAACCCGAAAATTTTCGATCTCGCGACCTATGGTTGAGACATCCTTTTAAAGATCTCATCAATTAAGGAATGCCTGGACACCGGACTAATCCTTAATTAATGGTTTTGAAAAATGAGTTCATGGAGTCGCCACCAATGTTTTACTCAAAACATTGGAAAAAGAAAAGGTTTTTAAAAATCCAATAATGGCCTTGATAACAAGAACTGGGTTCGGGGGTCGGTTACGTGTAAGGAAGGTATTAAGCACCCCTATAGCGTCCTCAATCGGTACCCTATGATGAATTTAACATTATAAATAATAATAATATAAATATTTAATCCCCTTTTATTGATAACTATTTACATGTTTGAAATTTAAATTATACAATTAATCCTAAATTTTCTACATGATTGCTTTTATTATAACAATGTTTACAAAAGATAAGAAATAAAAGGGAGAGAAGAAGATTGACTGAAATACCTCTTGAACGAGCTCTATTGAATCTTCAAATATGGAGATTTTTAGGTGCTTTGCGGCAATCTTTCACACTACAATAAGCCTCACAAAACTCAACAAATACAATAGGAGAGAAAGAGAGAGAAATTTTGAGCTTTAAGGAGTTTTGGACAAAATTTTGTGACCCTCAGAACTGTGCCCTAGCTATCTATTTATAGACATCAAAAAGTTTCCAGAACGGCCCGTTCCAAAATTGGAACGGCCTGTTCTAGATCCGACAGTTCTGTGTTAATTTTGTAACTAGAATGACCCGTTCTGAAACTAGAACGGCCCATTCTAGAGATAAGATTAACACATAATTGGCTAGGCTGGAACGACCGTTCCGAACAAGAGTTTTTAGGCCTTTTTCATAACTTGGAACGGCCCATTCCAGTTTTGGAACAGCCCGTTCCGGGCTACTAAAACCAACTTATTTGGGCTTTAGGCCTTCTGATGTCATGTCCTATTATTTCCATGCTTGGGAGCTCCATTTCTTTGATGATAGACGTCCATTTCATTGCTTTTGTTGGTCTAGATGAAATTGGGTGTTTACACACATTGGCTAACCAAGTGGTGTATTGGACTTCTCGGATGAATCCTGCTTCTAGTAGCTTCGTCGTTTCTTCCTTGATGGCTTGAGCTCGCTCTCCTCCTGCTTTTCGTTTCTTCTGGGCTACGGGTCTAGCATCTTGACATATAGAGAGTCGATGACAATGGAAGTTAGGGTCTGCTACGGCCCATGCGAAAAGGTCAGCATTTTGGTCTAGAACCCTCTGTAAGACATCGCGCTCGATTATTGTTAGCTGAGATCCTAGATACGTGACTTGCTCTTCATTTGTTCCAAGCTAAAATGGTATCATCATCTCGACTGGTTTGACTCTGTGGTTGTCTTCTGATCGGGGGTCAAACTCTAGACCCTCACTATCCTTCGCATGATTGGGCATGCCAATGGTATTAATATCATTTGACAGTTTGGGCAGTGGTTGCAACCTTAGACTTATGAAGTAACATTCTCTTGCATTTTTTTGATCAACATGAAGTGTGATGACTTCACCAGACTCTGACGGGAACTTCATGGCCAGATGTGGGGTTGAAACGATTGGGCATAACTTGTTCAATGAAGGTCGCCCCAATAGGATGTTATAGGAGGTGTTGGCGTGTATGACAACATATCTTATTTTAACACGTCGTCCTTCTCGTCCTAACTCGAAGTAGGTGTGCAAGTCAATGGTTCCTTTGGTGTCTACCCTTTCTCCCGAGAATCCAACCAAGGGTTCGTGATAAGGTGTTAACTCCTGTTTGGGAATATTAAGTTTCCAGTATAAGATATCAGCTAAACTCCCCTGATCAATCAATGTTTTCCTTACCAAGCAATTGTTGATCTCGACACTTATTACCATGGGGTCGTCTTACACTGGATCAATTCCTTGAAAATCTAAGTCGGTAAAGGTAATGGGTGGCATGGACACCAGGTCCCTCCTAGACACCACGTTTATCAATCTAACCGCCCGTAAGTGTCTTTTTTGGGCTGAGGATGTTCCTCCTCCCCCCGCAAATCCTCCAACTGTGGTGTTGATTATTCTTCTTGGAGGATTGTTGAGGCGATGGTTGTCTTGGCGCTCGTGAGACTTACTTCGTTCTCTCTGCCTGTAATTTATGGGTCGCCTCTCTTGCCTATCCCACTTTTGAGCTCACGGCGTCGGTTGGCTGTCTCGCTTATGTTTGCTTGGGACTTGCACAAAACTTTGGAGATGACCTGTTTTCACAAGGTCTTTGATTCAATCCTGGAGAGTTGTGCACTCTTTGGTGGTGTGCCTTCTATTCCGGTGGAATTGACAAGTCTTTGTCCAATTTGCTCTAGAAGGAGTCATGGTGCATCGTGGCATCGTTAAGATTTCTATGGCTAGAGCCTGCTCCAGAACCTTGGTTCAGCTGGCGTTGAATGGGGTGTAGGGTGTATATCTCGGCCCCCGCGTTACCTTTTCTCGGTCTCCCGCATCATTCATGTAGACTTTACCAGGGCATTCTTTTTCTACCTCATTTCTGCCATGAACTTGCTCAAGTCGTGTATGATTTCAGAATTCGGTCAATTCCTCCATCTGCATGTACTTAGTGGCTTTTTGTCGTAGGTCATCCAGATCGAGTGGTGGCTTTTTACATATATTGTTCACAAAAGGTCCGGGTCGTAGTGTCGTGGTAAGATGGTGCATGGCTACTACTGGGTCCAAGTCTTAGATGGCTAGTGTTGTCTTCCCGAATCATTCCATGAAAGCCCTTAAAGGTTCTTTCTTTTCTTGGCGAATGTTGATCAAGGCTATGGAGGTGAGCCTGTGTGGTCGACTTGTGGTGAATTGGATGCTGAAGCGTGTCGATAGAGTTATGAAGGAGTCAATCGACCCTGGGGGAGTTTGGTGAACCAACTTAATGCAGGTCCTTTCAAAGACGTAGGGAATACTTTACACCATATAGTGTCTTCCTCGGTGTACAAGCCGACTTGGGTGATGAAGGTGTCGAGGTGTTCATCCGGGTTAGTTATTTCGTTGTACCGATCTAAAGCCAGACTTTTCTAGTTATTTGCTAGGCGGGTGTTTATTATTTTGGGGCAAAATGTGTTCTTCCTTGTCATCTTTGTTGATCTAATGTGATTGTTGCGGCTGCGGTGGGCTGGTTAGAGAGCCTAGGCTTTCTATACCACCCTGAGGATTCGCCTTGGTCTTGAGAGAACCTAGTGATGGGAGTACCTTGAGTGGGCTGCCACGATCGATTGTCACTTCTGAGCTTGGCATTTTCTTTTCTTAGTACGGATAGTTCATGAGCGTCATTTTCTCGGAGTCTCCTAAGCTCCATCACCTCAGCTCTCAATTGTTCTATTGTCGAGGATGGGTTGGTCGATTGAGGACGATCTTCGTAGGATTCTTCCATCCGTTCTCCCTCAGTCTGATTCCTTGGTTGCCCTGGCTCTCGGGGCATTCCTAAGTTGCTGATAGTCGTATTCTCTTGCTGGCTTCTAGTTGATACCATCTTGACTCAGGGGGTTGAAACCGTGTAGGTATCGGCCCCACGGTGGGTGCCAAAATGTTCTTACTAGGAAACACTCTTACGTTGGTGTTCTCTGGCACTTGATCTTCTTCCAAGCTGAGGTTATAGCTTCCCGAATCCTTATCCCGACGAGGGAGAGGGTACCTGTAGAGGTACTCCGACATTCAAGTCAGTACTCGGTACAAAGCAATAAATATTATAGTATCAAATAATCATACCTTTCTTTCTGTCCCATCAATATTATATTTATAGTGACTTATTTGGGCCTAATGGACCTTTTTGATTAAGAGATTAATAACTTGAATTTCATACCTTAATCTGGACTGATGTGGACCTATATTATCTAACTAAAATTAACGTAATGTGACTTCAATAATAAGGAGTATTCGGCTTATCTTATGGTCGAATACCCTTTCGGGTTGTGTACTGGCCAAAGGGGTATTCGATTCCCCAGTACACAAAGTAAATTGATATATAAATAAATAAAATGAAAGATAGGTTATTTACGTAAATAAAAATTAAAAATAATATATTATTTATAAAAAAAACCCAATTATTTTGGTTTGTTTTTATCGGATCTATTTGGGTCTCTTTGGAGAAGAAAGATCGAAAAGGTCTTTAAAATAATTATATAAAGGGTTCAAATGTAATTTACATTTTTAAAATAAAAATTTATTTAAAATATACTGAGCAGTAACTATTTTTTATTTGACCACGGATGAATCACATGGTTTATTGATTCACCGTTGCAAGCCCCATCATTTTAATAGTAATGTTTTTATTTTTTATTTTTATTTTTATGTATAAATAGTTATTGTATATTTTTTTTATTCAAAATAGATAGGGGTTGGTACCCAAAAGTTTCTCACGTCACTTTCAACTGGTTCAGGAGCCCGGTCTCGACCTGGTTTGCTTCTGCTTCATCTAATTTCATTTTGCTACAATGCTTCACATTTTCGCATGCACATTTTTTATTTCTTTCAGATTTTCAGGTCATAGTAGCTGTTCCTAAATGTCTTCTCGCAGATCAAGTCGAAGAGGTAATCTTTATAGTTTTTATTTTTTATTTTTTTTATCATAAATAATAATATTGAGCCTCCCTGTCATAGTGTCACCTACAGGGGTTTTTCATTCCTTAATCTTCTGCTTATAGCAATATTCATGTAATTAATGCACCTTTTTTTTTTCCCTGGGTGTGGGTGCTTCTTAGTGTTACCTGATATATCTAGTTAAAATGTGAGCTCAAGTGTAATTTAATCAAACAAAACTCACTTTAGAAATAAATGTTGCTCTCTGTTTATATACAACAGTCTTGTATTTTGTTTTATTCTCTTTATTTATTTGATAACTCAAACAAAACTAAGTGCATGTCAGCCAACAAAACCGTTTTGAGTAGTTCAACTATTAAGTTCTCCCAAAAAGAAAAAATATAGTTCCACTATTAAGTAGTATATTTTTGCATGAGTTGTCATTCATTAGTGTGTATGTGAAACCAAAAGATGAAACTTTGTCCTTATCTTTTTTTTAGACCAAGTTGTGCCTTTGAGCTTGTAAGGTCGACTCGAGTAATGCCAAACAACTTATTTAATATGATATTTTGGAAAAAAAATTGTTAATGACACACACACATACTCTCTATTATCAGTTGAAATTGATTAAAAATTATAAATTTTAGTAGATCATACTTTATATTTAAGAACTTTGTCTCCTAATTTTGTAATTTCTTATAAATTTTAGTTAATAATAAAGTGTTAGTATGTTGTTCACACCTTTTTTCGAACACACCTATTGTTGAAATGGATGGAAAATCAAGAACTTATATTATGATTTTATAGTTTTTAATAAATTTCAACTAAAAAGAGTGAATGATATTCACACTCTTTGAGAAAAAAATAGGAAAAAATATTGAAATAATATTTTCTAAAGTTAAAACTAGTTTATATACAAGTTAAAAATAAGATTTTGGAAAAATTAATAGAAGATTTTTTATAAATTAGTTTATATATAAGTTAATTTTAATATATGAAAAAATTTATTTTTTTTAATTTTTTATTTTTTTCTCTCAAAAATGTTTTTTTTTAGAAGTTTATCCAAACAGACTCTAGTAAACTTTATACCAGTGATTATGCTTTGCAGGTGCTTCAAATAACTGGTTAAGCAAAACATGTCAACACCAAATCGCTTGCTGTGTCTAATAACTTGTTTGCTTGACTTAGCTTATTATGATAGATTAATCTATTTCATATTGTTTTCCTTCTATGGTTGCTGATTTTGTCAAATGTTTCATATCAAATATGCAAACTGGAATTAATCGTAGTTTTTGCTTATAATCGGCAAACTTTTCGAAGAATAATCATGGTTGGAGAGGTAGTAGCCCCTGGAAACTATTCATGTTACATGCATCTTTCTTATCTGTCAAGATAATTTTTACCTAAAACATTTATCACTAACTTTATTTTTCCCTTTTGCAGTGGCTAGTGGTGGAGTTGCATTAGAAAATCGAGTCTCAGTACCACTGCTGCCAGATCCTACAACAAATTTAGAATGGGATGAGGTTAAACCACTTTCGGGAAAACCACACTATGAACATCTTCTTTCACGGTCAAATCTCAGTCCCCGTTATAATATGGTAATTTTGTACTTGGTTTTACAGACCCCATATGTTATTTCATTCACTTTTAGTATAAAGACATCAAAGATAAATTAGCCAAATGGCTATAATTTGGTCTAATAGCACTCTAGCTACTCTTAAAAGTTGGGCTGAACTTAAAATTATAGATTAGTGCCTAGCAGATTCATGTTTGTTCACAACAACTATAAAGGCAAACAGAATAAACAAATGAAAGGACAGACCTTATGTATTCAATATCTCCTTCACGGTATCAATGTGGTTGTAATGTTTTTGTTGATGCATCATTATGTCTAACTTATTACCTCTCTCTTATCATGGTCTTATATTTAGTTAAACATACTCATGGCCACTGATTTTAGCAGACTTGATTATATCCTTCGAAACATTGGAGTTTAATGATTTCATTTGCTGTTTCATAAAGGTCCATTTATATGTATCATAGAGAAAATCGATTTCTTTACCATGCCTTGAGAAATTCTGGACTAATTGAAGCACACAAACCAATTGAGTAACACCCACATTGGTCTCTAAAATTGGAAGACATTGTTATATAAGTCCTTGAAATTAAGAAATTATCATATAAGTTATTAAAAGTGTAAATTAACAATCATATTAGTTTAAAATTCAAAAAAATGTGCGAGTAAAGTGATAATATTGATATATATATTTAGGGATCAAAATGATAGTACGTAATTAAATTTAAGGACTTAATATTTTAGAAATTTATTTGACAATTTTTTAATTTAAAAGATCAATATAATAGCATCTTCCATATTAAAGAACTAAAACTAGTGTTTACTCCAAAAGAATTTCATATTTGTAGGCAATCAATATTTTATACTCTTTCATATATTACTTGGGTGTTTGAAAGGTTGGAGAAAACAATATTTTTTTCCCCTGTACATAGGAGAATCATTTTATATATTACATTGTTGGTATATAGGGGCCATCAAGTAACATCCTGTCAGAACTTCCTTCTCATGAAGTCCCTACCATTCTCATCTATGGGGACAAGAGCTGGGACTTGGTGTATAATGGACAAAGCAATAGGCAACAGAAGACTTTTGGTACCACAGGCTGGAAAAAGTTTGCTGTTGATACTTGTTTGAAGGTTGGAGACGCATGCATATTTGAGCTCATTCAAAGCAGTGACAAGAAAATCATCTTTCAAGTTCAAATTCTTAGAAGTGACATCCCATCCAAATTTCTTGAGAATGAAAAGCTCAGAGGTCAGATTAGGGAAATGCCAATTGTCCTTAGCTAGTATTCTAGCCATCTAATGCATTTCATTTTCCTTTTCATTCTGAGTTGGTGCCGCAACTTGTTAGGAGTAGTAAAGTTATGTGCTGCTATGTTCCACTTCTAAGTACCAGTTGAATTTTATTATTAAGAGAAACATGTTATCATTAGTACTTCATGGGCACTGAATGCAATTTTCTTGATTTACTCTTGGTTGTGTAATGTGTTAGATTATGATATATGACATTCTTGGAGAGTAGAATAAGTTAGGTTCACCTTCAACTTTTTAGTGCATGATTAGGCATGGCAGTGGGGCGGAGCGGGGCGGGTTTTACGTTTCCCGCCCCAATACTTGCTGGGAGTAAAATTTAGGTACATACCCCGTCCCCGGTGAGATTTGGGTTTCTCTGCCCCGCCCCCGCCCCCGCCCTTACCTTTTTTTTCTTCTTTTAAATAAATATGAATAAATTTTAAAAAAATAAAAGAAAAGTAAAATAATACAAATTTTGACATATAAATATTTCTAATTTTGGTTTATATATATATAGATAATTTTTTAATTATATTATTAAGCGAGACAGGTATTAACATCCCCGTCCTTGTCCATGCCCTCAATTTTATCAATCGGGAAAAATTCGAACCCGAACCCGATAAACACGGGTTTTTCTATCCAAATCGGGGCGGATTCGGGCGGGTACCCACGGGAACGGATTGGATTGTCGTGCCTATGCACCATGAATTTTGAATTTTTCAGGAACAAAATCTTTATCTCTAAAAAGATCCCCTCAATAATATTTTGATTATAAGCTCTTGTTAGCTCAAAATAAACTAACCCAATCACTATCAAATAACGGAAAAGAGCACCAAGCACATGTTTAAACTTTCAATTTTCAATCATGCGAATTGCAAGCATTCATACAAGTTATAAATCTAAATTTGATAATAAAAAAAAATTAATTTGAAAAGCAAAGTAAGAAGTATACCAAATAGTGGGGCGAGATAAGTGGTGTTAATAGATTGGGTTGGATCAAATTTGATCTAATTTAAGACTTAATCTAAAGAAAGATAATTATATTAAGTTGGGTTAGGTTCGAATTTTTTTTTTATAAGTAATCCAACTTAACTTTAATTGGAATGAGTTTAGTAATCAGGATGATTTATTAAAATATTAATATATTTTAAAATTTTGAAGAAAAAAATCATAAAAATATAATATAAATCTTATGATTAATATATGTCCTAAATAATACTAATATAAATTATGTGATCATTATCCTTTAATCAAATACATAATTAATTTTTTATTATTAATTTCAGATAGAGTTAATCATATTAGAAACTTATTAATTCATTATTTAATTTATTTACAATTGGAACAGTTAGGATATATCAATCCAATTTTATTTTTTTTTTGTCGATGGACTGTGTGGATTATATTTATGTAATGGTTTCAATAATAAGACTATTGTAATTGTATAAAGTGATAGTAATATGGAAACTAGGATAATTAGAATAAGTAATATGAATATGACCATGCTCTAGTAAGATAATCATTTTTCGAAATACTTAAAAAGATTTCTGAATGATGGCAGATTTCACAAAGAGTTTTGAGAGAACAAGTGTATTATTTGATTGCTTAAAACACTCGATGATTACAAACTGAGGAGAAGTCCTCCTTATATAGCTAAACTGAGACTGACTAATTTACAACTAGGGGTAGTTATGACATCCTTACTTGCATGAACTTGAGATGATCAATAAAGAATAGGACGCCTTCTCCAAGGATCAAGTTCTTCAAAGGTGGCACAAGGGTTTAGGGTGGATGATGATGGAATGGACGAAAATGGAGGTTGGGTAGAAGGTGTTTGAGGAAATGCTTGAGAAGGGCACTCTAGGGTTTGGTTCACTTCAAGGTAGATGAAGGCCACTTCTAGGGTTTAGCTCTCAAGGTGGAGATAGGATGGGAGGTGGCCGAAAATAGCCAAGGTGACTAAGGATGATATAAAGGCAAAATGCTCTCTTTATATTCAATTTCCAAAGTATTTACAAGGTGTGGTGCCTAGGGTATTTATAGGAGTGAGAGGCATCTAGGGTTGCATTTAGGGTGCCAAATGCACACCAAATGAAACCCAAATTAACCCTAGATGCAACTTGGTGGCCAAGGATGGAATCTTTGGGTTTAGTTAGGCTACATCTAGGTGCATGATAAGACCATGCAACCTTTGCCCTCCACTTGGGCCTAAGCCTTTCTAAGTCCAAAAATAGGTCCAAACACCACCAAAAATGTGTCTAGCTCCCTAATTAAATACCTTAGCCCAAAATTAAAAACCTATGATCTAAAACACCCCATAATACAAGGGTAAAATGGAAAATACAAAAGAAAATAAATCCTATGACTAAGATACCCCAAAATACAAGGGTAAAATAGGAAATTAAAGACAAGGGCAAAAATAGGAATAAAAATAAATGCTATAAAAACTTAGGAGCTAAGGCCCAAAAGTAGGCTTACTCCTCCTATGGTTTTTCAACACTAACTCATTTCTCTTGCCTCCTTCAATATATCACCTCTTGGTCTTCTTAGCCTTAGTGTTATTCCATCAGGTAGTGACTCATTATTCTTTACAGGGGTAAGACAGGAAAAAGTGAAAGAAGTACAAAGAAAACTTCAGAAGATAAAAGATCTTCAAAAGTTTTTTAACTTCTTGTGGAGCTGACAAGTAACTTTGTTGAATGGCAGACCAGAGGTGACCCACTTTTGTCTTGGAGCGTTGGCAAGATAGACAACTGTCTAGATGCATCAGCAGGTAATTATTCTTGCTTTAATCAAACATATCTTCATTTCGAAGATATGGACTTGTGGATATTGAGTCTGAAGAACCTGTTTCTTCAGGTTGAGAATCATCTTGAAGTGCTCTAATTAATTGGAGTCTTGCTTCAAATTCTTCTTGAGAGGTGGCTGAGGCTAACTCGGCCATGATTTTGCTCTTCTCAGCTAGAAACTGAGAATCTTTTGTAATTTTTCTTTTTTGTTCTTGATGTAATAATGCTGGAGAATTGCTTTGAGCCCATTCTCTGATTCTTGATTTACTGATTAAATTCATGTCGAACTTCTTCCACCATTTGATTTTTATACATCTTGATAATATCTTTAAAGGAATGTTGTCATAAGGTTGTCTAAAAATGTAATCCCAAGTAACGATCCAAGTAATATTCTGAGATGCAACAAAGGTAATCATCTTGTAGTTTGGTAGAAATGATGTAACTTCTTTGAAATAATCAAAATTCTCTAAGACTTCTTGAGGGAATAACTCCCTAATTGGTCCCCAGGTATAAAACCATTGGAGAAACCATTTAGGAAATTTTAATGAGATTCCTCTACGAAACCAGAAGAACCATGAATGAGTCTTGGGTTGGAGATATAGCATGTAGGTCCATGCCATGGTATAATCATAATAGGTGTAAGTTTGAGGTTGAAATTGTCTTGAAAAGGATTTGGGATGATAAATGGGTTGTCCCCATTCTTCAGGTGTCATGATTTTGAGAATCTTGGCTTTGGAATAAATAATATTATTGTCTTTGTCTTTTGAATGAAATAATTCTATTGAGTCAGAATCAACTAAAATGAATTCATAGAAGATTCTAGGTTTTAAGAAATTTTGATGATGGGTGTCTTTTGGAAAAATGGTATTGATTAATTGCTCTCTGGATAGGTCTTTCCATTCGGGTTCTATTGGCATAATATCAATAAAGGTGTCTTTGGTGATGTAGGAATCATCATAGGATCTTGAGTTGGATGGTGTGGTTACTGGATTAGTATTGTGAGTAATATTTTTGGATAAGTTTTGAGAGATCTGTTTTGAAGGAGAAGGTATTGAGCTTGGTTCAGGGGCATGTTCTAAGGCTGCTATTGGGTCAAATTTATTGTGGAATAGTAATGGAGATTGGGAATTGATGGCTTCTAAAAATGTTGTAGATTTTGAAGGTAATTTGGTATTGAAGGACTGTGGTAATTTTCTTGTTGAGTTCGGCGATGCCGATAACTGTCTTCATGCTTCGGACTGAGCCGATTTAACAGTATTGTTGATTGGAGCCTTGAAAGGCGTCCCGTATTGATCTTTAGAGCTTTTGCTCATTTTCCTGTAAAAACTCTCTTGTTAAATAATCGGGTAAAGTGTTTGACTCTCCTTTAATATGCTCAATCTCAAAATCAAAACAGGATAATAAAGCTTGCCATCTAGCAAAAATATGTTTTGAAACTAAGTTTTTAACATCTTTTTGTAAAACTGATGGTGCTGCTTTACAATCGGTTCTAATCAAAAATCTTTTTGAAAATAAATCATCTTGAAATTTTTGAAGACATAAAACTATTGATAAAATCTCTTTTTTGACAGTTGAATACTTTTGCTGAGCTGGATGCCAAATACCTGAATGATATCTGACAACTTGTTCTTTTGCTAAAACTTTTTGCTTTAAAATTCCCCCATATCCTAAGTCTGAGGCATCTGTCTCGACAATAAGATAGGCTTCTGGGTCAGGAATCCCTAAACAGGGTAATCTTTTGACTATTTGTTTAACATTAATAATGACTTGGGTCATTTCTGGGTCCCATAGTTTTGGATTCTTTCTAAGTCTTGTATATAGTGGGGCACAAATAACTCGAATATTGGGAATAAAGTCTGCTACATAATTGACACAACCTAAAAATCTCTGAAGTTGGGTCTTATCTCTTATTTCATTTGGAAACTTATCTGGAAATTCTATTGATCTTTGGATTGGAGTAATAGTTCCTTGATAAATTTCATATCCTAAAAATCTTATTTTTGTAGAAAATATTTTAATTTTCTTGGCAGAAACTACTAATCCATTTTCTTTGACTAAATTAATAAAAGTTTTTAAATGTTCTATGTGTTGATTAATAGAGTTTGAAAATATTAATACATCATCTAAATATACTAAGGCAAATTTCATATATGAATAAAAAATATCATTCATAATATTTTGATATTCTGAAGGGGCATTTTTTAAACCAAATGGTAGTACATTCCACTCGTAATGTCCAAAAGGAACGTTAAAAGCAGTTTTGTACTTATCTTCTTCCTTCACCCCTATTTGATAATAACCAGATTTCATATCAAATTTTGAAAATATTGTTGCATGAGTTATTCTTTTAATTAAATCTTGTTTATTAGGTAAAGGATACCTAATCCATTTTAAGACTTTATTTAGTGGTTTATAATTGATAACTAATCTTGGGGCTCCTCTTTCTAACTCAGCGGCATTTAAGACATAAAAAGCTGAGCAACTCCAAGGAGACTTAGAAGGTCTAATTAATCCTTTATCTAAATATTCTTGAATTTCTTTTTTACAATATTCTAAATATTGAGGATTCATTTGTATTGGTCTTGCTTTAGTATTAATGTTCTTTTCATCGAAATTTTCTATATATGGTAATGATACTTCATACTTTTTTCTATGCCAAAAAGTTGTTGGATTTAACTCACAAATTTCTTGTTCTATTTGATTATTAATCTTTTTAATAGTTTCTTGAATATTTTTATTTAATAATTGTTCTTCTATTCTTTTATATTGAATTTCTTTAGATAAAAAATTAATTTGTTTTCTTTTATTTTCTATAATACTTTTTTCTCTTAATAAGTTTAATTCTCTTGATCTTGGTGGGTGTATAAATTCAAAACATATTGAATTACCTACTACTTGAGTTTCTAATCCTTTTGGAGTAACTTTAAAAGGATATAATAATGATAGAAAAGGTGTTCCTAATATACAAGGAATATTCATATTTTTAACTAATACAAAAGAGGCTTCGTAACAAATTTTGTTTTTACATATTTCTGCAGATGATAATTTATAATTAATTTTCATATAAGAATTATTGGCACTTAAAACTTTTTCAGAAGACTTTTCATAATATTTTGATGGAATAATACCTTCTTGCAAACAGTTAAGATCTGCTCCTGAATCTATTAATGCAATTAAGTTAAATTCTTCATTTTTAACTAATAGTTTAATATTACAATGCCATTTATGAGTTGTTATCATATGTAAATAATTAACATCTTCTACTGAAGTCGAAGGTTGTTCTAAATCTATTTTAATATTTTCTTGTTCTCTGACTTTTTCTTTTCCTTCTAATTCTAATATTCTATATTTAATAGATATATTATCTTGTTTTAGATTAGTAATTTCTATTTTTAAATTTTTAATTTCTTCTTGTAAATCTTTAATGGTAACTGGGGTTGGTTGACAAAATCTTGAATATATTTCTTTTATATCTACTTCTTTAACTTCTTCTTGTTCTTTTTCATCAACCCTTAATAGTTCTTCTAATTTATTAATGAATTCAGTTCTTATTGGACCATGTTCTAATTTTGAAATTAAATCTAATAAAGAATGAGTTTGATCTACAGTTAACATGTTAATAATTTTAGTCATTACAGGTACAAAGTCCTGGACCTAAACAACTATCTTCATCTTGAGACTGACTAGAGCTAGAGTCTTCTTCTTCTAATTGATAAATAATTTCAGTATTGCTTTCTTCATCAGAAGTAGAATTGCATCCTTCTGATTCTGAATTGATCATTATTGCTATTAAAGATTTTTTTAATGATTCATCTATTTCTAATTCATTAATTTTTTGTTGAACTCTACATTTGTTGGCAAAATGGCCTGGTCGCCCACATTTCCAACATGTTATATTCTTTTTTTGTAGGTTTAGGCTTAGTAACAGTATTGGGTTTTTCTAAGTTTTTTGAATAATTTTTATTTTTCTTAAAGGATTTTTTATAGGGCTTTTTGTAATTATTATAAGGCTTGTGGTAAGACTTTTGAGAAACAAACTGTTTTCTCTGGGCTTTTTTCTTGACTGCACTGGGTGCTCTAATAGGTTCTACTCCATATTGTTCACAGAAATTTCCTATTTCTCTTTTACTTGTTCCGGCTTCTTTTCTAAGTTTGTTTTGGAGTTTGAAATCATTACAAACTTGTATTCCAGTATCAATAATAATACTATGTATTTGGCCATATCTAAGAGCTTTATAATACCCTTACATATGGCCAATAGCAGCCTTAGAACATGCCCCTGAACCAAGCTCAATACCTTCTTCAAAACAGATCTCTTAAAACTTATCCAAAAATATTACTCACAATACTAATCCAGTAACCACACCATCCAACTCAAGATCCTATGATGATTCCTACATCACCAAAGACACCTTTATTGATATTATGCCAATAGAACCCGAATGGAAAGACCTATCCAGAGAGCAATTAATTAATACCATTTTTCCAAAAGACACCCATCATCAAAATTTCTTAAAACCCAGAATCTTCTATGAATTCATTTTAGTTGATTCTGACTCAATAGAATTATTTCATTCAAAAGACAAAGACAATAATATTATTTATTCCAAAGCCAAGATTCTCAAAATCATGACACCTGAAGAATGGGGACAACCCATTTATCAACCCAAATCCTTTTCAAGACAATTTCAACCTCAAACTTACACCTATTATGATTATACCATGGCATGGACCTGCATGCTATATCTCCAACCCAAGACTCATTCATGGTTCTTCTGGTTTCGTAGAGGAATCTCATTAAAATTTCCTAAATGGTTTCTCCAATGGTTTTATACCTGGGGACCAATTAGGGAGTTATTCCCTCAAGAAGTCTTAGAGAATTTTGATTATTTCAAAGAAGTTACATCATTTCTACCAAACTACAAGATGATTACCTTTGTTGCATCTCAGAATATTACTTGGATCGTTACTTGGGATTACATTTTTAGACAACCTTATGACAACATTCCTTTAAAGATATTATCAAGATGTATAAAAATCAAATGGTGGAAGAAGTTCGTCATGAATTTAATCAGTAAATCAAGAATCAGAGAATGGGCTCAAAGCAATTCTCCAGCATTATTACATCAAGAACAAAAAAGAAAAATTACAAAAGATTCTCAGTTTCTAGCTGAGAAGAGCAAAATCATGGCCGAGTTAGCCTCAGCCACCTCTCAAGAAGAATTTGAAGCAAGACTCCAATTAATTAGAGCACTTCAAGATGATTCTCAACCTGAAGAAACAGGTTCTTCAGACTCAATATCCACAAGTCCATATCTTCGAAATGAAGATATGTTTGATTAAAGCAAGAATAATTACCTGTTGACGCATCTAGACAGTTGTCTATCTTGCCAACGCTCCAAGACAAAAGTGGGCCACCTCTGGTCTGCCATTCAACAAAGTTACTTGCCAGCTCCACAAGAAGTTAAAAGACTTTTGAAGATCTCTTATCTTCTGAAGTTTTCTTTGTACTTCTTTCACTTTTTCCTGTCTTACCCCTGTAAAGAATAATGAGTCACTACCCCTACTTGTAAATTAGTCAGTCTCAGTTTAGCTATATAAGGAGGACTTCTCCTGAGTTTATAATCATCGAGTGTTTTAAGCAATCAAATAATACACTTGTTCTCTCAAAACTCTTTGTGAAATCTGCCATCATTCAGAAATCTTTGTAAGTATTTCGAAAAATGATTATCTGACTAGAGCATGGTCATATTCATATTACTTATTGTAATTATCCTAGTTTCCATATTACTATCACTTTATACAATTACAATAGTCTTATTATTGAAACCATTACGCATATATATATATATATATATATATATATATAACCCAATTTAATGACCTAATTAAATATAATTAAGTTGGTGGCTGTTAATTTGAAGTTTAAGCGCTTCACTTGACCATTTTCTTCCACTAATTGTTATATTGGACACTCCGAGTACAACTACTCTTATTATTTTTGAGTTTAGTGAGAAATTAAGTGGAAAGGTAAAGAATAGAATGGAATATAACATACCGTTCGATTGCTTGGTTGAGGGTAGTGGAAATCCTGCAATTCTTTAGGACTTTAGCCTTTCGAGTGGCTAGGATTACCCTTTAAAATAACTTCATTTTATAGACACTATGATTTGAAGCTTTACCCAAAATCCTCATTTCATTTTCTTAAGAGTAGGGGTTCAAAGTTATTTGTCAGTGGTATAATGAGTTATCGGAAGAAAATATCCTTAAGAAATTTATTTATCTTACGATGGATTAAAGTAATATATATTAATTTTTCAAGGATGAGAAATGAAATATTTTTAAAGACTGAAAAGTGATCATGTAATTTAATCATCTATGAAGAGAAACAAGTACAACATGCCTAAAAATTTAAACTTAATTCATAATTTCTTTCTCACTAAGCATAACTGTTTTTAAAGTTGCTGCCGTTGAAACCTTAAATAAGAATCATATCTCACCAGAATAATTATTTGGATGCTCCATCAATTTAACTATTTTCCACGACTTTTGAATTTAGTGAATAGTAATATTAATGTCAAACCTGAATTAGCATAACTAATTTAGTTCTATTTTTAACTAGGTATGCATTGACTTAGCATTTGCACCATACCTCTAATAACTGTATTTTTTAGTGTTTTTATTACTTCCTACCAAGACGCATAGTGTATCGAACGACTATTTTAATTTAAATACCCTTAAGAATTATATATTATATATATGCATAATTAAGTGGTATGCTCATTGGATTTTACCTTAATCTCCCAACTGATCATAATATTAAGGAACTTCGAATGTACATTGACAACATTAGCGCTAGAAAGAAACGTTAAATGTTCTTGTGATCATAATAACTCCCTGATCAACAACCTTTTGTTGCTTTCACAAACAGAGACCAAAATTAAGCTTACGAGACATGTAATGAAGTATTAACCTATAATCTCAAGTCTTGTGGGGCATTCACTAAGGACAACTTACAAAAATAATGGACACTGTTCTTTCAGGTAAAGCCAGGAATTTCTCCAGGCATTGGAGCTAACTCATTCTTGCTAAACTTCTCCTCATCATAAAATGAGGCACGCACCACTCTACCCCCAAAGTATCGACCATCGAGGTCAATAAGCGCTTTAGTTGTTTCTTCGGATCTTTCAAACTGCACAAAGATTCTTACTGCTTCATCACTGGGGAAATTTGGTTCTGTTATCTCAAATATCAGAACTCGGGTTACAGTTCCATACTTGGCACATTCTGATCCTACCTCATCTTCCAGCTCGTCGTCTACCTCACCGGGACCCACCTTCAACAAGAAAACACATATAGTCAGTCATGTGTAACCAATCAAGCTACAACACCAATAAATCCATTTTAGGATGAACTAACGCAGTCACTGCTGTGCTTTTCATGTCAGAGATTCAGCTAGGCATCAAAGTATGCAGATATGCACACTTTAAAATGAATTGTTTGAAATTTGGATAAACTTTTTTTATAAACATTTATAGGAAAAGAAAACAAAAAAGATACATGAATTGAACTTTTCTCATAAGTTAAAGTCAACTTATGCGGATAACTTTTATAGAAGTTCTCATATATAATTTTTCCAAAAGCTGAAGTGAATACGTTGATTTCAACTTGTGGCACATTTTTAATTCATTTTATCCTCTTGTTTTCTTCTTCTATAACTGTTTTTGAAGAAGTTACGCCAACAAGGCCGAAATACAATTTCAGGATATAAACAAACCATCTACAGCCTCTTTTGAACACTTGGACTCTTGATGGAAATAGTAACTATTGCATTTGCACCAACTACCATTCAATGTAAAAAGCAGCAACCATTGACTAAACGAGAAAAGATTAATGTGCAGCATTCCAATTTTTGAGATTGGAAAGTACTTCAGAACAGATGTTTGCATCACAAGTTTTTAATTTTGGTTTTTGTGGGATTCAGGTTTTGGAGAACCATGTTATTTATTTCATTCTTTGGACAGACTGATTATTCTCTACCCTTCAAAGAGAATTTCTTCTGTTGAAGAATGTCAATAAAAACATGATCAAATATAAACACTTAAATCTGATTTGTTATTTCAGTGATCAAATCTTAGCACTTGTAATGTGCAAAAAAGGAAGCAAATAATGCACATCAACATATTTTATAACCCAGTTCCCAAAAAGTTTACAACAGAAAAACTATGAAGCATGGCCAGAAATATTTTATCAAACATTTCCGTACATGCACGAAGTCAAAAGTAGGTATTTATCAAGGTCATAAGCAAAAACTTCCCAGAAGAATGAAACAGAATTTCGAATGTATAGAACAGATACCGACAAATTTCAATTACTTCAAAATATTATGACAGGAACCCTCCTGGTTTCATATCAAAAACATAATTAAAAAAAAAAAAAAAATTGGTTTATATTCTACAATAGCATCATGAAACAACAAGAATAAGTTCAAAGAAGCAAACATTCCTACAATAATACAAGTATTCACTGTAGACAATTCAAACGAGTATTTACCCACACCTGAGACTAAACTAAAATAATCGTAACCAAAATAGGAAATAAAGGCATAATCTATCCAGCAATAACATATCCTAAGACCCAATCTACAAAACCCTAATTCTCAATTTACAATTACATCATAAAAATAAATAATTATACATATCCACTCGTACTGCATTAACATAATAATACTTTTGAGAGCAGGACAGTTGAGAAACAAGATACTCGTTTACAGTGGAAGTAAAAAGGAATTAACCAAGATGCATCAAGATTAATCAGAAAATTAACCGAGCTAAATATACCATAGACAGTGGCATTCCT